TAGCTGAGCTTAGATTTTAACATGTACTGTTTAACCATGACATTTAAATTTAATAGGGTAAAAGCCAGTGCATTTAACGTAATGTGTCATGACTCCCATCCTTCACCCTCATTTCACCTTCATTCAGCTCACCTGGTCCCTTCACCAAGCTCCAGCCAAGCCCTGTTTTCCACAGCAACCCCAGTCAGCACCTCATAACCTTCATGCAGCACACCTGGTCTTATCATTAAGCCCCAGCCAAGCCCTTGTTTCCTGATTACCATAATCAGCTTCATCTCACACACCTGCTTCCCCTACAACATATTCACCAGTTAACTACCAGTTTCCTGCCAGATTATTACAGCCCTGCCAGTAATTCTCCAGCGTTTCACCCTGCCTGATCTCTGCCTCCGGACCTTGTTCTTTGCCTGACCCCTGCCTTGTATTCTGCCTGCCATTTTGACCTTAGCCTGCCTACCGACTCTGTCTCCAGCCTTGCCCTCCTGGTAACTCCACCAGAAATAAAGACTGTTTTTATCTATTTTTACTGTGTTGGCGTCTTCACGGGTCTTCTGAGTTCTGTTCGTGACTTAATGCTGCATTTTTGAAAATTAGTTGAAATATGACATGTTGGTGGAGCTGGGTTCCGACTATCTGTATGGTCTCCCTCACCTCAGCTGCAGCTTGGCGCATCTCTGACTGCAGCGGCGCCTGTCTGCTGCACAGCTGCCGGCTTGTGGAACTCTCGGATGGAAAACATCGGTTTCCATCCGGTTCTCCCCAGCAGCTCGGCGTATCTCCGACTCAGAAGCTCTGGTGTTGAGCACGCCAGTTGTAGCTAGGTATCTACCTCCGTTAGCTTAGCTCCAACCTCCACGTTAGCTTTAGGTTAGCTAGTAGCTACATTGCTTCAGTTCGACGGGTGTCATCATTTGATCCCAGCCTTTTAGCCCCACCCTCAGCTCCACCTCTTTTCCCTTTTTTGGAATTGTCTGGGCTTGACGGAACCTGTGACATGGTCAAAATGGCGGTGGTGGGAACCTCCCATTTTGGCACAAAAACTTATAATTGGAGCCTATTGACATGAATTGTCCAGTATATATGTCGATGGTACGCACACAGGTGCTCACATGGTAAGTATGGACTAGGACATTTTCAACAAATGTCTTAAGGCTGTGGTTGGCACTAAATGCACTGTGATTTATTATCATGGGATTTTTCAGCAAAACAATGTTGATTTTATATTTCCTCATTAGGTTGATGCAGTTATAGCTTGCTCTAGTTGTATTGTTGTTTGTCCCTTTTTTTCGTTTGTTTGTTTTTCTCTTTCTGCAGGTCTAGAAGCAGACTCTTGTTCATCATTGCTTGTTTATTTTTATGGAAACCCCCCCACCTCTTCCTTTTGTCTCTTCTTTTCTTTTTCACCTCTGTCTCCGTGTCTGGTCAGAATTACAAGCATTCAAAAAACAATAGCAATAAAGTTTCAAGTATCAGGCGTGACATTAAAGCAGCAGCTTTGATGCTCCACCTGAGAGTAAATCTGCAAGGCTTGTCACCAGCATTCAGACATTAATTCTGTTTGCTTCACAGACAGACAGAACACAGGGGGATAAAAAGAAGCTAACCTTTAGCATTAGCAACTACACCACACAGCAGAGATCCTCTAGGCTTGTGTTATTTGTGGAGATAAAACATTGACGTTGCAAAGCAAACAGAGTCATCGGTATAGTTGTATTGCTGTTAGCCAATCAGAGGTGAGATGTCCAAATATCAGGAAATGATACTCTAAATCCTGCTGTCTGCAGCTCAGCTTTGATGTGGCTCACTTCTAGTTTCTGAAATAGATGCACCATTGCTTCTTTTCCCCCAGAGTAGGACTTACAAGGCATTCATTCTTACTGTGGTTAAACATGTGAACCACAAAGACCCTAACTCAAACCATTTTTTTACTTAATTTTTAAAACATTTCCCTGTTTTGTGCTTTACTGTAACTTTCCCCTGATCTGTCACTCAAACTGATTCTTGACATTTTATTCATCCATGAGAATTCCTTATGCAGATAAAGAATATTTTCCTTTTCTGAAAAACTCAGATGTCCCAAATGAACCAAGGTCACGCCCGTGCACATGTCTGGGGTTGATGACTCAACTGATTATATTTCACAGAGGCAGAAAAAGACTTCTCAGAGAAACATCCAGCAGTTCAAGTGCTCTTGGCTCAAGGAGACATTGTAAACTGAAACATATAGATAAAGATAGACCGACCGTCTCCAGCATCTTTTTTTGTTGAAAAGAGAAGCCATGAAATCCTGTTTACAAGCGCCGCCCCGTTCTAATTTTGGAACCTGAGTATGCACATTGGAAGCATAAGAACAGGAGTCATTCCTGCTCACCTGCAAATGAATGCAGCATTTAATTTAATGTAGTTGGTATTTTTTTACAGTCAATAAAGCATCAGGATAATTTTCTCATGGTTACAAAACTATTTGCTGACATTTATACAGAAAAATTAGGGGTTAAAGAGTAAATTCCAGAAGGATTCTTTTAAAACTTGCATGCTCTGTTGGGGTAAAAAAAAGTCTTAGTGTGTTTTTTCTGGATTCATAAACTCTGAGAGTTTGCAGATTTACTCAACACTTGGCCTTCAAGGGTAAAGTGCATTTTTGCAGGCAGCTGTAATAAAAATAATCTACACCTCTTTATTCTTATAACAGCATTGATATAAATTACAGGACAAACGCAATGCATGTAGAATTAATGGTTGAAAATCGGGTTACATATAAAATAAACATAATATGAATACACTCACACACCTTGAAGCTGAGAGGCAAGCAGGGTCTATTTGAGCTGTTATCAATTCCAAGAATCTGTCTGCAGCTGGATTTGAACCCTTCGTCCTTACGCTTTTCTCCAGCCATCCGTGTATCCACCCGTGGTGAGTTTTGACTGCTTTTATTAAAACCAGATTGTTTGAATGAATCAAACCCCCTCCGTTCTTGACTCATTCCTTTTTTTTCCATGTGTTTCTCTTTTTCCTTAGCACCCTGCAGCAGTCCGTGTGGAAGAACGTCTTCAAACGAGAAACACATTTCAGGGCTAATAAGGGTCATAGGCTGACGATGAGCTTCGGTTTGAATCCAGGGTCTTGGTTTGGTCCTGTTGAATAATTTACGTTTAGGGACTGTATCAGTTATTTTAACATCATGAACAATTATAACAAAATAATGCAGATATTACTAGATTAAAATTATTGTAAGTAACCAGGTAGGCTGAAGGAAAGACTAGTAACAACGGGAAGCAGTAGCTCAGGAGGTAGGAGCGGGTAGTCCAGTAAACAGAAGGTTGTGGGTTTGATCTCAGCTCCTGCCAGAAAATGTTGCTGTTGTGTTCTTGGGCAAGACACTTAACTCACCTTGCCTAATTGTGCCAATCACACCTGTCAGTGCACCCCAGGATGTCCCAGGGCAGCTTTAGCTAATAGCTCATCATCACCGATGTGTGAATGGCCTCTATTTTTATAGCATCTTCTAGATTTCCACAAACCCCCAAGGTGCTTTACAATACATCAGTCATTCAGAAACCTTCACACTCTGGTGGTGATGAGCTACATTGTAGCCACAGCTACCCTGGGCTGCAAGGCTGCGGCACACTGGTGCCACTGATCCCTCTGACCACCACCAGCAGGCCAGGTGGGTTAAGTGTCTTGCCCAAGGACACAACAACAGCGACAGACGGGGCTGGCTCCTCGTCCACCATCGCCTCAAACCCCCCCACCCCCCCACCCCCAAATAAAACAAAACGACCTGTATCTGGTTTGATATAACACTTTCTAGGGTTCTACAGCCCCCCAAGATGCTTTACAACATAATAAGTCATTCAGCCATGCATGCAGACATGCTGGTTGTGATGAGCAATAGCCACAGCTGCTCTGGGCAGAATTCATGTTGTCAGCACAATGATATGCCACACCTGTGAGGTGGGACAGGTTGTCTCAGACAGGTTTGTGAACATTTTGTGCATCAATGTTTCAGAACTCTGAGTCCAGCTGATGAAAAATGGGAGCAAAAAAATAGTGTTGTATTTATATATTTTTTTCAATGTGTTTATTTGCCATATTTAAGGCTTATTATTATTATAATAAATATAAAACTAATTTTATATTTATTATAATAATTAGATATTTATATTTAAGCCTTATTGTAAACCTTTGAAAGTATAGAGAAATATTCTATTAGGGATTGTTTTCAATGTTTAAAAGAGATCATCTCAAGTCCCCAAACTCAATGTTTTGTGACCCACAGCGACCCCCGGCTTTTGGAAACATCGGATTAAGACCTGCCACTCCTACCATGACCCATTAGAACATGGGTGGATTAAAGCTCATTTGGAAAACCTTCTTCAGTGTGAAGGTTATCATGTGACACCCCCACACTCTTAGTGCTCACCAAGTCATTTTCTTTCTGCTTTGCATTCCCTAGAAATTCTTCTGCACCCTCACCACTCTGTACTTCAGCAAGTTCCCATGATGACACCACGCCCTAGCCTTGTAGAACTGCAGAATACTGCTGCGTGCTAGAAGATCAATCCGTGTTAGCCAAATGCAGATTACCTGATCGAGTAGTAGCCCATGCTTGAGGAGTGTGTGAACAGTTAGGCATTAGATTCGTTGCTGGCTTTAATTCATGATGCAATTACCCATGGTGAAGAATTTTCAAAGGCCCATTAAAATCTGATTATGTGCCTGTAGACCTCTAGACCCTGCAAAAACCGTCTATATTCTGGGTGACTTTTTTACGTCTTAAGAAGTTCTTCAGCCTGTGTGAGTGGGGGCTTTATATGGAGGTAAATGTGGCGCAAAAATGTTTGCGTTTTGTCACTGGGAACTTGAAGTCACAGAGAAAAATCCAGAAAAATCCTATCTTTCACAGGTACTATTTTTTATTGCACCACATTTAACCCCATAGATTTACATACTGTTTAAAAACATACAAAAGCTAATTAAAAACAAAACCAACACACATGTGTTCATTAAGGCATTTTAATACTGTTCTTTTCTCAGCACTGGCAATTTGTACACAGAAAGAATGCTGCCAAAATAACAAACAGAAAAATATACAGATATTTCCCTAAATAATAAGGGAAGGAAGTGTAAAAATATGCACGTTGAAAATACTACAAACATGTCCTGCTGTTTTTACTGACCTACAAAACTTTTTAGAGATTTTTCCAGTTTCAGATATGAATATATAACCAAAATGCATACTGACTGTGCTTACAAGAGGATGCTAACACAAAGTAAATGGCAAAAAATGTTTTTCTGGTCCTGGAGTTTAAAAACTAAACTGGTGCATATAAAAACAGGCACAAAAATAAAAATGGACAAAGGCATCTGAGGTTTAGATTGACAAGTTCAAACTATATAGTTACTCAAAAAAATCATAAGAACTGACTCTATTTATTATAAAAAATATGTTTCTTCATGTTTCTGGTGCAGTGGAGTACAAAACAGGCCATTTTGTTCTTGAAATGCACATCAGGATAAATTGCAACAGCACAGCAAATAGGTAAAAGTCCAACAATGTGATGAAGGCATTTCTTTGTCTCCAACAATCCATGCTTTAACTCCCAGGAAAAATAGTCCAATAACAACTAAAATGCCTGTAGCCGGCCAACTTGTGGACCATACATACAAAAACCCCTCATACTGGAAACTTTAGCCTTTCTTTTTACGAGTCTGCTAGAGATTGTTCAGGGAATTATTTTTCATGCTTTGAATATTTTTAAGAAGACTGAGAAAAAACATAATTCTCGTTCTCTATAAGTACACATTTCTTCAAAGGAGTAAAATGTTGAATGTAAACAAAAATGTGTTAGTTTTAGAATCAGTAATAATTATGATTTTTGAGGCCTTAACACACCCGGCAGAAAAATATCGAACACATTTTCGTGTTAGTTCTATATTATTGCTTTGCTACGTAATGTCTGCATACGTTTTTGTCCACTGGAAGCAGTCTCAAAGACATGTTGTGTGAACCACACTTTGTTGTGTTGGACGCTGTTCCTGTTGTTTTAGAAACTTCCCAATAATATAAGTTTTGCTTTTCAGTAAAGAAATAATCACTCTTATGCACTCGGGCCCATCTTTCTTGATCAAATACCCTCAGTCCGTCACACTGTTGAAGCTGAGCTCACTGATGGATCACTTGTGATATCCTCTAGAGAAAGGTTTCTGCCCTATGAGCGAGTAAAAAATAAATATGAATCCAGTTATGTAAATCATTGGTTATTGTTGTTACTTCTGCACTGAAAACACTCAATATTTTTAGCGTTGTAACATAGATGAAAATAGAATATGCTTGGTGTTAAAGGCCATTTTTAAGCAGGAAAAGTTATTGTTTCAACTCACAGTGATATTAATACTGTATGAATATTTACAACATGAAAATACAAAAATAATAATAATAAAGCAGAATCTCACAAAATCATACTTAAAACAATCTGTCCATATTAGCACTAAGTAAAAGCATCCAAGTCCATTCTCAATTGTCTTTCACAGAAAATTAATTTCCACAAGTCAAAAGCTGTGTAACAAGTGATCAGAAGAATCACAAATATGTATTAGAGTTTTGCTTGCAGAACAGATTATGCCAACAGTAAATGAAAAATTTGTACAACTTTTATCATTGCAAACTTTACGTAGTCTCTAAAGGTAATTTTTTTTCATGTCTTCATGGTCATCAATCTTGTTGCAGTTTGAGAGGGGTGTTAAAAAGGAAACCATTTTTATTTCAGTGCAAGGTTTTCTAATCCCCATGGTGCCATTTGAGTCATTTAGAATTCCAAGAAGTATTTTTGAAATTCAGCTGATCCACCGTCAGTTCTCTGGTTCTTTAGCCTGAAAGCTGAGGCACTTTTTCTGTTGTATTTTATCCACATCCAGCAACAAGATTAAAGCTTATTTCAATTGCCTCTCATATGAACTAAGTGAATTAAAAGAAAGTTATACTTGGGTCAGTAATGAAGGCACTGTTCACTACTAAGCCCCTTTCAGTTGATTGCACTTCATTTAGTCAGTTGTTTATACCATCATACGACAGTCTTTGATGAACTTAATCACATCCTCTTCATTGTCCCATAGCGGTCAGGCATATTTCGAATATGCTGCCATCTTCAATCCATCATTTTGTGTCTTTAAATTGGAAATCCATTCTGTGTCATCAGGAGTGCAACAAATGATACCAATTGCCCTTTTTCAATTGTGTGTATCTGATGTTGGAATAATATTAGAATAAAACCGCCAAGGGTGCTATAGCTAGATGAGAAAGTCTTTAAAGTTTTGCTAATCGTTAGAAATAGGATGGTTTAAGGGATGCTAGATTGTTATTTGATGGACATTGTCCGTGCATCAAGGGTGCTTCATAGTCTGAACTACCGTTTTGATGCAAGAGTGGAGGTGGCTGAGAAGTCATGGAGTAGTCCGTCTCAGGCTGCTTGGGAGGTAAGGTACCGTTTATGCCATTTTCCAGGCAAGATTTTATACCATCCAACTCTGTGGGGTCAGCAGGGCCCAATTCTAGTTCCAATCCTGCATTTGCCCGCCTCTTCCTCCTCAGGCAAACAAAGGTTCCAACCACTATAGCCAATCCCAGCACCAGCGCTAGGACTGCAAGAGCTGAGATGAGAGTATTTGTAAGAGGAGTACTTGTGGTCACCCAAGGTTCTACAGATGTCACAGGCATGCCGTCTGTGTGGGCCTCTGTACATGTCCCCATTTCTATAGAGTTGCTACCCTTGTAAAGTATTTTCTCCCCAAGGGGACTGGCACAAATAGAGTAGGTACAGTTGGGTATCAAACCACGTAGCGTGTACTCAGGGTAGGATGTTGGCAAACTAATCATCATAGGGCGGCGGTCGGGCCCTGAAAGGTTACGGTAGGTCAACCTGATGCCACGGATATTTGGCCGTGTCTCGATGAAGCGGTGTAGGTCAAGAAGGATTGATGTGGAGGTCACCTGACGTGAACTGATTGTATCAATTCTATCAGGTATCTCGGGGGTAACTGCAGAAGAGGGTTGCTGGGACGCAAGACTCACATCCATATCTTCGCAAAAGAGGCCAAATGTTCCTGAGGGACACATACAGCTGAGTTGTCCAAGAAGATCCAATTTACAAGTACCCCTGTTGAGGCAGATGTTTTCTGGGCAAAAATGCTGTTCATCTTCCTTACTGTGAGAGCTGAAGGTAACCAAGTCTTCTGGTGGAGAGGCATGGACGTCTGTTGAAGAAATGGGTTCTTCACTAGATGAACGAGGGGGGAGAACGGCTTTGGTATGGGTGGTGTCTGGAGATGTGGTCGGAATTTGAGGAACAGGAGTATTTTCTTTGGGAGAACTAAAAGATTCGGTAGTAGTTGGTGGACATCCAAAATCTTTGTGCTCCAGTGAGATGAGCATTTTTCCAGCATTAACTAAAGGAAAGTGACATCTGGTAATCTCGGGCTTCAACAGACGAATGTTCTTCTCTTTCAGCCAAACAGGAAACCAGGCAAATGGACATAGGCAGTTAAATGGGTTCTGAGCTGCTGTCAGGGAAATCAACTTTGGAGCACTTTCAAAAAATCCCTCAGGAAATTCCTGAATATTTATTCCACTGAGATCTAGATCCTGAAGTCCATCAAGTTTCTGGAGGTCCTCTACTTTCAGCTCAAGTATTGGGTTGGCTGCCAGGCTAAGTTTGGTCAGGCCCTTGAGGGAATCCTGCTTCAAGGCCTGAGGGACTTCATTTAACTTATTGCCTGATAAGTCAAGCTCATGGAGGTTCCTCAGAGATGTTATGAAGTCTTTATCCAGAGTAACTAAGCCAAGATGAGCCAATTTAAGGGCCTCTAAATTGGGAGTATGAAGGTCTGAGGGTTCCAACATTGGAATGTTATTGTGACTGAGGTCTAAAAGGAGAAGATTGGGAAATCTAAGGTAAGGCAAGGAAACAAGCTGGTTTCTTTGCAGTTTGAGTTCCAATAGCATCTCTAAGCCATCAAAAGCTTCCCAATGAATGCTTTGAATGTGGTTTCCTTGAAGATACAGCCTTTCTAACTGGACCATCCCAGAAAAACTGTCTTTTGAAATGTGAGCAATTTGGTTACCAGACAAGTCTAAGTTCTTTAGTTCTGACAGGGACTCAAACACTCCATCGGGAACTTCTCGTATCTCATTCTGGCTCAGATCAAGTGACACCAACTCCACTAGGCCTTTGAAGTCATTGTTGGACAAGGTGAAATTATTGTTGTTGAAGATGTACAGATATCGGGTGGTGACAGGAACTCGAGGTACAGTGTTGGACCGTCTGTTGATGCAAAATACTGAGTTTGGGTCATTGCACACGCATTGTGCTGGACAGTCAGTGAATAACTCCACACCAGAGACGATTAAGGAGAATATGAAGAAAATCAACATGATGATGATGAGGATGGGTCCAGCAGCTCTGAAAAACATGAGACACACAAAAAAGGTATGTTAAAAATTGGCTTGTTCAGCTGGACATGTTTAAAACGCATAGGGCTTTCACATCTGGATAAGCTGGCCCAGCCCTGGTAGGTTAATTGTGTTCATATTTGGGTAATCTTTGCATTTTCTGTGCTTAGCTGATTGTTTATTTTTTTGGACCTGCTCTCCAGCAGCCCGCTTCATGCGCTGCAGTCATAACATCTCCACAACCGACTGATTGGCCAATTGAAGTTTACGCCTACCTAAAGAGGGAACCTCTGATTGGCGGGTAGAATCAGCCAGTAGCAGCTTCCTGCATGGGCAATCCCTTATAAGTCTGGATGTGTTGGGGTAAACATTTTCTCTGACTGCTGCTCGGAACCACCGCACTGTGGCAGGGCAAGGACAGACTGCTGTGAGAGGAGAACACACCAGTCTCAGGGAGACTGTAGGAAGCAGCATGCTTCATATCAGAGTCTCCCAAAGCAGCATTGCTCATGGGTGCCTTTGTTTACTAACTTAAGGAGGACAAAACAAACTTCTTCATGCCCTACCCACATGCTTGGAGACATCCGTGTCCCTCAGAAGGCTGTGTGAACAATACCTGTCCGAGTAGGGGTGAGCCGATGCTACTAACACCAGACCAATACCATTAAGTAGATCTGTGTGGTATATTAACTAACCGGAAAAGAGATGCAAATTAGAAAAGTAAATCAGTCAGTACCATTTATTTTAATACAGTCTGTTGTTGAGCATTCCCTTTGTAATATTGGTTTTATGTTCATTACTTTGCACATTGCCCTTGCTCACCTATTAAACTGTATTTATGAGAATAAGTAAATTTTCAAATTGACTTTCAACTTCTGCACATTGTAGGAACTTTTGGACAGTCTGAGTTTAGACGAATGGGGGCTAACTTTTATTCAAATGTGTTGCCGGGATATCTTCATTCATTTTCTTTTTGAGAAACATTGAAAGCAGCTGTGGCTCAATTAGGTCAAACAAGAGGTTGGTTCAGCCCACCCAGGGTGACCCTAAAGGGAAAGTAAGAAACCATTCAGTCATTTCTTTCAGTTTATGGCACAATCTTCCGCCTGTGTTAAGTGTTAAGTAAAGCAGCAGGACACCAATGGGCACAGTGCTTCTACATACAAACATAGTAAAGTCATGTGTGAAAGGACAAACACCAACTAAAATTCCTGCTAGAGTCTAAAGAAAGTCTCAGCCACAGAGGGGCCTCCTTCGTGTCTCGAGTGTTTTGATCTACTCTGCTGATAGAGGGGAAACCCATTCAAGCTTCCAAATGGCAACATGTGTTCTGCCTCGATAAGTCAAAGTAAATGGAAGCATTGTGGTATGTTTACAGGAAAATGACTTCTGAGAATGACACTTTTACAGGCAGAATGAAGATTTAGTTATCTGAGCAGATGTGTTCAAACATAAGCACTTAACAACACAAGAAATATGAAATTCCTTCCAGAAGGGCTTCAGTTGGCTGCAGCAGCAATTTGCTCAGCCGTGAGACATAGTCTCTCCATCGTGTCCTGGGTTTTCCTTTAAGCGTTCTCCTAGTTGGACGTGCCCAGAAAACCTCACTAAGGAGGCAACCAGGAGAAATCCTAACTAGATGTCCGAGGCACCTCAACTGGCTCCTCTCGATGTGGAGGAGCAACGGGTCTACTCCGAGCCTCTCCCGGATGACCACGTTTCTCACCTTATCTCTAAGAGAGAGCCCTGGCCACTTGCATCCGCAATCTCATTCTTTTGGTCACCACCCAAAGCTGGTGACCATAGGTGAGTATAGGTGAGGAAGGTAGATCGACCGGTAAATCGAGAGCTTTGCCCTCTTGCTCAGCTCTATCTTCGCCAGGACAGATTGGTACAACGCCCGCATCACTGCAGACGCAGCACCAATCTGCCTGTCGAAGTTGCACTCCCATCTTTCCCTCAATCGTGAACAAGACCCTCAGACATTTCAAACTCCTCCACGTGAGACAGGACCTCTTCCCTGACTCTTTTCCGACTCAAGACCATGGTCTCGGATTTAGAGGAGCTGATTCTCATCCCAGCTGCTTCACACACGGCTGCGAACCGCTCCAGTGAGAGCTGAACTATGGTATTTCGATTTAAAATTGGCTTTGCTTTCTGAATATGCATGATCTGTGCTGCCTCTGTTTTGAGCACTAAACATCTCTTCTTTCCACCTCTCTTGTTTGAAAATGACCAGTTTCCCAGATCATCAGAATAAGCACTTGTCATGAGCATCAACCAAACCATTCGAGTACACTCTGCATGCAACCAGCCATGCATGCATTACAATAGCATTACTTAAACTTGCAAAACAAATTGTGTTTGTTCTCTCAAACCAAACACCGTGTGTTCTCAGCTGCTCATGTACAAAAAGAACCCAGGTCGAAAGAGAAACATCGGCAGCTAAGTGATACAAAAACAGATCAACACAACTTGCAAAGCCACACGGCCCTACATGTGCACACAATACTATTGGTGCAAATATTCACAGTTTGCAGCCCAGCTGGATTATGTTATCCACAATTCAATACAGCCATCCTTCACTGTTTTGAGACAGAATGAGAGGCCCACATAAACATTTGTCCTCCTGCAATGATAAGAGAGAGGAGAGGAGAGATGGAGAATTCCTACTCCTTTTTAGAGGCGAGAAAAAGTCTGAGAGGTAAACTGAGTGAGAAGGGAACAGATAGAACAAGATGAAGGACAAATAGTTGGTGAAAATTGTAACACTTTATTCTGAATCAGCTGCAGACAAAGGTATTCTCACCCAAACTAACAGTGTGGGACATGTTGTCTCAACAGGCAATATAGAGATCTGTGAGAGCCGATCTACATTTCATTTAGCCAAACAAGGCATGAACTTTTCTCCCTTCCTGTCTTTGATCACTGTTCTTTATCATTTGTGATAGATCTACAAAATAGCAAAAGCTGAAAGCTCGTAACTAAGAAGATGATTCAGCTCTCCTGATCTTTCTGAAACTCCTTATTTGTAATTAAGCCTTAATCTCCAGTAACTCAAGCCACACTAGTCATTGTAGAAATGTGTACCGCCTACTACAATTCATACCAGGGTTTTAAACTGAGATGATCTTGTGTTGAGAATAGATGGATTATATGACTTAATCTTAATTTTGATTGAAAATACTTTGAGTCAGAAAAAAAATGTTTTTAAGCAAAGATGTTATATGTGTTTCTTAATTTATCGACAAATGACAAGTCTGAGAATCTGTGTTTTCATCCATACCATACCAACTTTATTTCTATAGCACTATTTAAAATACAGCGTGAGAGCCGACCAAAGTGCTGTACAGGCAGGATCAATTAAAACAAAACAGACAACAGCAATAAGGATCTAAACAGGGCATCAATAACAAATAAAACAATAAGAACAGTGGATAAAACACAAGAGTGAATACAGTAAAAACAATAAAACAAGTCACTGTCTGAAAGCCAAATCATAAAAGTGGGTCTTTAAACGAGACTTAAAAACAGGCAAAGAGGGTGCCTGCCTAACTGTAACAGGCAGTGAGTTCCAGAGCGTGGGGGCAGCATGGGCAAACATACGTTCACCCCGTGATTTATAGCACATCCGGGGGTTGCAGAGAAGCAGGAGATCAGCTAACATCAACATGTGCATAGGTACATAGGGGGTGCATTGTCTCAACAATGGTATTTTAGTTGTTGACTTGTGATGGTTTGTAATAACCTGGCAAACCATCCTTTATATGTAAATATAAAGTCTGACCACAACCCTAGAGAGCTCAGGTGTGCAGCGTGGTTGTATTTCAAACTTTCTCTGCACCAAGCCCCGATAATCCAGGGACGAGCATGAAGCCAACACCAAAGTGGCAAAAAATGCAGTTCCACCCTCATCCAATAGGGGCTACATGGGCGTAGTTTTGACTTTAGAAGTCTGTGTCTGTGTGTGTGTGTGTGTGTGTTTCGGGCAGGGGGGGCATGAGGACCAGGTGGGTGGATTTTTTCCAGTAAGTTTACAAAAAATATGTATAAAACTATAGTCTACACAGTGGCGGCTGGTGAAAAATGTTTTTGGTGGGGCTGTGCTATTTTTTTATTTTTAAACAAACTTGTGCTTTCTGAGCTTTGTGCACAACTTCACTATTTCCTGAATTAAGCACAGCTCTTTTATTTCCTGTCTTACATCATTGGACAAACTGATTAATCCAGGTGTGTGACTATTGGCACGCTGCCTTGCAGACCAAGGTTGAAAAATACTGCATTAAATTGCACATAAAATAACACGACCATAAATGGTAAATAGGCAATGCAAGAGGCAAGTAACAAAAACATTTTGTTTAATTTCAACATTTGAGTGAACACGAAAAATTATGAGCAGGTCACTGTTACAGTAATGGTAGTAAACACCACTTGGACAAAATGCCAGAAATTTACACTGTTAAATATTTCTGGAGTGTTGTGCCAAGGTCAACTTTATACAAAGATCAAGTGGATGCATTTGTGTGTGTGTGTGTGTGTGTGTGTGTGTGTGTGTGTGTGTGTGTGTGTGTGTGTGTGTGTGTGTGTGTGTGTGTGTGTGTGTGTGTGTGTGATACCTCATTTGTACAGAAATTTTGCCCTTCTGTCCTTCTGAGTGGCAAAGCTCTCGATTAGCTTTTTATTGAAGTCAGGAATGTTTGTGACAAGCTTTTTTTTCCATGGAGAGCATGGCAAGAGCATTCAGCCCATCCTGTGTCATGGTGTTCCTCAAGGAAAGTCTTAATCCTCTTTAAAGTAGAAAAGCACCTTTCTGATTCGGCTGTGGTCATGGGTGTGGTGACAAGAATCTTCTTTTGCATGGCTCAGGATGGTGTGAAAAACCTGTCATATGATAAATAAAAAACAACAGATAAGTACATAGGAAACACTTTCATAGGAAATAATGTCATCAGTATCCTCTTACAAATGTCATATTTCCCAGTTTTTGGGACAATAAAACATTTCTGATTC